TATTGATTAAATATTTTACAATTTTAAAAATGTTTTAAATTAAATGTTGCTTTCAGTAGGCAAAATAAAAGAGTTATGTCCAAGATAGATTCAAAATGTCAAGATGGAAAATGAAAGCAACTAATGAATCTTACAACGTTTTTGCTTCCATAAAATAGAAGCAAGAAATAAAGCTGATGAAATACTTCTTTCTACCTCACAGTTCCTGGAAAACAAGGTTCAGAAAGTCTTCATAGGTTTTAAAGAAGCAGCATTCTCCCATTATTCATTCTCCTGTCATGATGGTTCACAGTGAATATCCACATAAAGGAATGCTTTTCCAAAGAAATAATTGCAGGAGAAAACAATGAGTTCTGCTTTGATCCCCACATCAGAGAAACTTCAACTGCCTTCTATTGTCCGTACTATGGAAACACAGCTAATCTGATTAGTTTTCCACCTTAGTTTTGGCTAAGTTTGGCTGAGTTAATCTCAGTTACTTGTGTCAGGCCGGCAGTCATATTCCTTTTTAGAATCTTTGGCCTGCCACACTCTCTATATTTCATTATGCTGTTTCATTAGTGTAGTAATTGGAAGGGGGAATAGAAATGAGTAGAATTGTAGAATGTGTTGTTGTCATTCCTTTCTAGAAGCCCAAGGTCATATTTTGTCTCTGCACCTCTGCACCTGACCAGAACCAGCTGGGTGGAGATGCCAGCGTGGCCGAAGAAGATTGGACCATGTGATGGATTTATGGTGTGGGGATAAGTTCATGAATTTCAACTGGGTGAAATCCCAGGAAGCTTTTAGATTTGGGATTCCACAGATGTGCCAATATGTCTGTCTTATTAAATTGGAACTTTAGGATAGCTCTGCCTTGGACTCTGATTTAATTCTGCATGATATTTACCTGCTTTGTAGCGCTAAGACAGGAATACTATGGCCTCTATTAAGCCTGTAAACCTGAGGCTGTCTATTCCTATTCCTATTCCTATTCCAAACTAATGAAATAATTTCTAAATGTAATCTATCTACCAATTTGGGTAATATTAAAAAACAAAACAAAGCAAAAGAAAGTAATTTGTTGATTTCATTTCACAAGATACTGATTTCATTTCTGGTCCCAAATTTATGCAATTCTAAAGATGTTAATTCCCATTTTCCGTATAAAATTCCATGTTAGATATCAGATATTTTTCTGTGTCTACTGCATAGTGAGAAAATAAGGGTAGGAAGAGAGAGATAAAAAAAACAAGACTTTTTTTTCAAATTATGTAAATAAATAAAATTAAATGCAAAATAAATGAGGAAACTAAAACAAAGGGGGTGTCATTGGAAATTTGAGAAAGGCCAAAGAAGGACAGAATAATAATCAAAATAGATGATACATTAAAATTAAAGCAAACAAGACAATGTATTTGTTCAACTTTCCTTTGTGAGTAGAATATACAATAATGTAATTAAATTTCATATGTATATCTTCAAAGCAAAATATTACAAATCTGCTGTCTTTGCTAAATAAAAATTGTTGATTGCCACTTTACTTTATCAATTCTAACTACAGTGGTTTCAACCAAGATCCTCTGTTCTGGCAGGAACAGAGGTTTAATCCTATTGGTCGAAGGGTCTGACCGCTCCCTATAAAAGAGCTGCTGTCAGACTCAACCTTTGCTGGTTTGTTCTCACTTGTTGTGCTTATTAAAGAACTGTTGTTACCGTTAAGCCTATGTGTGCCTATCCATTACCCAATCTAACACTGGCGACGAGGATAGGATTGGAAGGCAACTAGGCGAACCAAAAAGAGCGTAGCAATCCAGCAAGTACATCCAGCCCGGAGCTCAGCATGGCTTCGAGCAGCCATTTTTGAGCAGCAAACTCAAATCGCATTCTGTATACAAAATGGCTATGCACACCCCACTTACTCCGTATGAACCAGCCACTGAGAACTGGGAATCATACATCATACAATTTGACTGCTTCCTTGAGGCAAACGACCTCATGGGCCTTCCTGAAGGCTGCAAGAACATGTTCCTTGGATACTGTGGCCAGGAAGTGTTCAAGATGGCGAAAAACCTTTCTGAGCTGACACTGCTTCAAGCAGTCACCTGGTCCGTGCTGCAGCAGACGTTAATGACCCACTATGCACCCAAGCCATCCAAGCACGTTCGCCGGCATGAGTTTAACATCAAAAACCAGAAAGAGGACGAGTCAATTAATGAGTATGTTGCAGTGCTTCGCAAGGCCTCAGCATACTGTGAATTCCGAGACCTGGACGAGCTGATTCTGGACTGCATAATTTGCAGTGTGCAGGACATTACCCTGCAGAGGAAGTTACTCACTAAATCTAACCTCACTCTGCAGATCACCTTGGATGAGGCAGGGCATCCGAATCAGCGGCCAAATCTACTGAGACTTTGCGGCGTTAAATTGTACCACAAGACTGCGAAAGAGGACACGTATACATCACGAGGCTGCAGAGCTCAGAAAGTGAGGAAGATGACAGCTGCCACATGTGCAGTAGCCATGCCCAGCCGGCGTGCAAATTCCAATCGCATCTCCCACCTTGCACTAGCTGCCGAGGAGACCATGCTAGATCGGCTTGCTGTTTCTATGACACAACCTGCCAGTGCTGCGAGAGAAAGGGGCACATCGCCAAGGTGTGCTGGAGTGAATTCCCTGTTACCACCTGGCAGCCTAGAAGTGCACCAAACCACCAACAGAGGCCTATCCCAGGGGCCTGGCAGAAGCCACCAAGGCATTCAGCGGGCGACAATAGAGTCACCTACCATAGGTCAATCGGCCAAGTCTGCACCAGGTGGCTCAAAAAGCTGAAGGTCACGGTCCTCATCGAAGACTCTCCATGTGAGATGGCAATCGACACCAGGTCATCGCTGACCATCCTGCCCTGGTCTAACTTTAAGCAGGCTATCCCTAGCCTACAGAAGCAGCATCTACGCACCCCTGATATCCGCCTACGCGGTTACCAGGGAAACCAGGTTCCCATCGTGGGCCAAGGCACCTTCCAGGTGAAATTTAAAAAGTTCAGCGGGAAACTCCCAGTGACAGTGGTGAGCGGCAATCTGCAGAGCCTCCTAGGGCTAGATTGGTTCCAAGCCCTGAGCCTAGAAGTGACCGGTGTCAACGCCTTGAAAGACAACAGCGCTGAGACCATCTTTAAGGAGTTCAAGGACGTCTTCGGCATCGGTCTGGGTAAGTATGTGGGGACTCCAATTTTATTTAGTTTGGACCCCAACATAGCCCCTATTAGGCTAAAACCCAGGAGAGTACCTCTTGCTCTCCATCCCAAAATTGGCAGGGAAATTGACAAGCTCGTGAGCCAGGGAATCCTAGAACCGGTTGATCACGCACGCTGAGAGACCCTTATAGTGACACCTGTCAAATCTGACACGTCTGTCCACATCTGCATGGACTACAAGTGCACAATAAATAAAGTGCTACAACAAAGCGCCTACCTTGTACCCATTGTACAGTACCTACTTCATTCACTAGGCCCAGGAAAAATGTAATTTTCTAGAGACTATTTTTTTTTAAAAATATCTTAAAAACAATTATATCATTAGAAAAAAAAAGTTTTCTCTTCTCTTTATTACACACATTTAATCTACCGAATTAATAGAGCATTCTTTCAGCTCATCAATTAAAATTGTATCATTAGAGCAAAAATAGTAATTGTATTCTCAAGAGGGGAAACCAGCATCCTTAATTTACAGACTAATTATTTTAAAGTCTATAATAGCTGTTTTTCAGAAGAGCTTAGCAAATTATATACAATGAGTGAATTCACCTTGGGTTCCCACTGGCGTCACCCCAAAGTCAGAGATGATTTAGACTGTAAACAGTTCTATAAGTATCTTTGTGTAAATTGTTTTTGATCACTGTTGCTATAGCTACAATACCAGTCTAGTGTTCCAATAGCACCACATCATGAAAAGAACTTTAATCAAAAGTTAGCCAAGGTATGTCTTTTCTCGGCAGTTAATGAATGAGGATATTTTAATTATACCTCATGATGAAGATGCTGCGCTTAAATGAAAAATCTTCACTGAAGAAAGTTACAGTCTAATTGAAATATTATTTATCCCTTCAAAACCAAACTAGTTGTTTCGCTTTGTATGAGCGCTTGAGGGTCTTGATTCAAGGCTCAAATCCCAACTTCACTTAATAGATAATAAATCCTGTTCTATACATAGATAGTCCTCGACTTACAACCACTCATTTAGTGACTGTTTGAAGTTACAACAGCACTGGAAAAAATTACTTATGACCAGTAGTGAAATTCATTTTTTTAACTACTGGTTCGGTGGGCGTGGCTTGGTGGGTGTGGCAGAGGAAGGATACTGCAAAATCTCCATTCTCTCCCAACTCCAGGGGAAGGATACTGCAAAATTCCCTCCCCACTTCTGGGAGAAGGATATTGCAAAATCTCCATTACCACTCCATTCTGGCACCACCCAGAGGTGGTATTTGCCAGTTCTACAAACTACTCAAAATTTCCGCTACTGGCTCTCCAGTACCTGTCAGAATCTGCTGAATTTCACCCCTGGTTATGACCTTTTCTCTTTACGACCGTTGCAGCAGCCACACAGTCTCGTGATCAAAATGAAAGTGCTTGGCAACTGGAATCATGTGGTCATCATCTGTAATCTTCCCAGCAGGCTTCCACCAAGCAAAGTCAAATGGGGAAAGCCAGATTCGTTTAATGACCCCATGTTTCACTCAATAACTGTGGAGGAAACTCACGTAACAAGTGTCTTGCTTAGCAATGGAAATTTTAGGCTCAATTGTGGTCGTAAGTCGAGGACTACCTGTATATGACTTGATTTAAAATCAAGCAAAAAGAGTTACTATAAATAATTACCACTACTTAATTTTAATTTGTAGTTTAAAAAATTAATCACATTTCCATTTTCAGCTAACAGTTCCATTTACCAACATAAAAAAAAGAATACTTAAAACTAGCTTTATGAAAGAACATCACATAACTCCACGTGAATCCTTACCTCTTGATTTTTAACATTAAGGTATCCATAGTGAGCCCTTAGATGTCGTTTTTGTGTGTAGGAAAATGGCACCCATTGGTCACTGGATTGTCCAAAGCAGCTGAGAATGAGAGGAAAGCTGACTTCATTTGTAAGGCGGGCAATGATGACGATTAGAAATGCGACTGTAAAGCCAATTACAACAACGGCCTTGCGCTGCAAATGGGATAAAAAAAATAATTAAAAAAAATACTCACATCAACACGAATTTATTTTTTAACCTGTCGTAAAACCAACTAGATTGTCCTTGCCTTACAATCATAACTGAGCCCAAAATTTCCACTGCTAAGCAAGACAGTTGTTAAGTGAGCTTTGCCCCATTTTACAACCTTTCTTGCCACAGTTATTAAGTGAATCCCTGCAGTTGTTAAGTTAGTTAACATGGCTGTTCAGTGAATCTGCCTTCATCATTGACTTTGCCCCCTGAACACTGCAATCATCATAAATACAAACCAGTTGCCAAACATCCGAATTTTGATCATTGTGACCACGGACATGTTGCAATGGTCGTAAGTGTGAAAGATAGCCAGTGCCGTTGTTAACTTCAAATGGTCACTAAACGAATGGTTTTAAGTCAAGGACTATTTGTAAATAAAACTTCAATGTTTAGCTGGGGAATTCTGGGAGTTGAGGTCTATGGGTCTTAAAGTTGCCAAGTTTGGACAGCCCTGCCCTAAGGGATCTTTAGACTGCTAACTGACAGCTACTCATCAATTTAGCAATAGCAATAGCAGTTAGACTTATATACCGCTTCATAGGGCTTTCAGCCCTCTCTAAGCAGTTTACAGAGTCAGCATATCGCCCCCACAGTCTGGGTCCTCATTTCACCCACCTCAGAAGGATGGAAGGCTGAGTCAACCTTGAGCCGGTGAGATTAGAACCGCTGAACTGCAGATAACAGTCATCTGAAGTGGCCTGCAGTACTGCACCCTAACCACTGCACCACCTCGGCTCTTTCTCCAGGGAAGTGGAAATACAAATTTAGAAGACAGTCCTCATTCCCTGTAGCTTATAGGAACAAAGTAAGCTATATCAAGATAATAATGGTAAGAACACTGAGTACTGACCATGTTTGGGATGATTTTGGAATAAAGCAAGAAGTTAAAATTATGTTACCTATTTTCAAGTTTATATTTCTTAAGATCTCCCTATTTAAATACTATTTGCAGCAATTTAATCACTTTACAGCGTCAGGCGCAAAGAATCAGGATCGTTGTTAGGTTGAAGCATAGAAGATTTATTCAAGTCTACATACAAGAATCTAGTCAATTAAAACTCAGCATTAAACTGGTACCAGATAATGGTCAATGGAATTCAGGAGGGGTTGGACCATTTGTGGGAACATTAAAAATCTAAGCTGATGACGTGCTTAACTCCATCCCATAGCTTTTCCTGCTCTTCTTGTACATACTCAAAGCAATTGAATTACTCTAAACTGGCAAGGAAAATAAATTAATGAGTGTGAACTGCATTTTGTCCCCTAATTATTGGTTTTTTAAACATGACTTCTAGTTGCTATAACATTTTTTTGCAATTTGTATTTTGTTTTAAAGGCTAGAAACCTGATGGGTCAGTCTCTGGGAGAAAAATAATGTAGTCAGATATTAATAGAATCAACATTAATTTTTTTTCTCTCTTCTTTGCTTCCCAATGCCATTTGGTGTAAATCCTCAACCATGACTCCATCCCCAGTTTTTCAACATGATTAAACTGGTCATATATTTTTTTACCTTAATCTGAACATTCCCGTCATAACCTCATAATTTATACCAAAAAAATGTATCAGTAAAATAACTTGCTGATACCGAGAACATTTTTCTAGGGATTATGATCTTATTTTAAAAATTATAAGTACCAAAAAGATTCAGTAAAACCTTAATAGCAAGTTATAATAATTTAATGTGCTCCGATCCTTTCATTTGCTGCAATATTCAAATATTAAAAAGAAAATTACATTTATAAGTCCTTTTTGTTGATCTTTACTAAGTGAAACATGCATTAATTTAGTATTGCTATGTTCAATTTGTGGTATAGGATAAAACTGGATGAACACAACCTCTTCACACTCCTAATATACCTAAGCAATTTATGCGTATTGCCATCCTTTTCTAGCAATTCTGAAAATTCAATCTCAATAATAAGAAAACTCTGATCTTGTCTCACTTGAAGCAATCAGAATCATTCTGCCTAGTGTGTATATCAAAATCAATAAGCAGAAGACATGATGAATCACTCTTTTTAAAATTAAATTTATGAGTGCTGAAGACAAAAGACAGGACAATTTCAGATTTGACCTATGCTTTTTCTAGTAGTACTTTGAATGAAAATGAATAAAAGTCTAGTTCAATCATATTTCAAACATATATGTGTGCCTTTGTATATACACATATATACACATACATACACACTCTCAGTTAGTCAAGCTACAAAACCCCAAATTGTGCTAATCAGAAAAGGGAATGCAGCACTTTCCTTTTTCTTTCCTCCTAAAGCAGCAAATTGAAACTATTGCCAATTTTCATATACTGTAAAGCTGTGTGTGGGCAGAATTTAATCAAGGCCAAATATCTATGATTATGCAGTATATTTATCATGTCTTTGAGCCATATGTTATTTTTTCTTAAAGTAATAGAGTATATTTCATTTTCAATAACCAAATGATTCTTCTATCATAAATTTCTCCATTATTCCATAACTAAATCTGCATACTACATCTAGCAATGGAATATGCCACTGTATATCTTTCTCCCAATAATCATATGTAAGTTAATTTAATAGTATGTACATATATGTACATATACATAAGAATTATATTATTTCCTTTTTGGATAAGCAAAACTGTGCAAATCACAAAAAAGGAATAAGAATATTGAGTAAAAAAAATTAAAGATACGATATAGAATAAAAGTCAAAGAATCTGGTTTACACAAAAGCTAGTAATAGTATCTCTCCATAACTTAAAACCCATCTTTCTTTCTATAATGTCCATACACTATTTTATATATTGTTTTTCATTCTTTAAACTACTCATTTTTTCCCATTGAGGTTCTCTTCAATTCCATTAAACCTTGCTCGTTCTTCATATTTCCCTTCCTCTCCATCACTCACTCTTCCTTCCTGAATTTGCTTTCACTTTTGATCTTTATTAGATAACCCATGCCTGGTTGAGTCATCATTTCAAAGTTATTTTCTTACCTAAATAGAGAAACAAAGTGATCAAGGAAAACTGACAGCCTGGGTTTGAGAGCTGTGCGCCATGAAATGGGTGAGCTCCCATTCCTGCGCTCCTGCCCACCCAGCAGTTCGGAACCACACAAATGCGAGTAGATTAATAGGTACCATTTCGGTGGGTAGGTAACAGCATTCCATGCACCTTTGGCATATAGTCATGCTGGTCACATGACCATGGAAAATGTCTTCAGACAACGTTTTCTCCCTTGGCCAAGAAATGAAGATTTTGAATACAATAACAATAATTCTCTGATTAACAGAGGATTTGAAATTTTAACCTTATCTTATTATTATAGCAGTTAGACTTATATACCGCTTCATAGGGCTTTCAGCCCACTCTAAGCGGTTTACAGAATCAGCATATTGCCCCCAACAATCCGGGTCCTCATTTTACCCACCTCGGAAGGATGGAAGGCTGAGTCAACCCTGATCCTGTGAGATTTGAATAGCCGAACTGCAGAACTGCAGTCAGCTGAAGTAGCCTGCAGTGCTGCATTTAACCACTGCGCCACCTTGGCTCTTATTATTATTCCTGTTAAATATTTTGTCATTAATATAGTATATATATGACAGGTAAATAATTTTCAAATATTTATTTGTTTAAAACTTGGGGGGGTGTTTTGCAAGGGTTGGGAACCAATATTGTAGTAATCAGTATTCAAATAGGGGGATAACATGTGTATATGTATTTGGTTTTTTTCCAATGAATTTTTTACCCTGTTTCCCCAACAATAAGACCTCCCTGGATATTAAACCCAATCGGACTTTTGAGCGCATGTGCTAAAATAACCCCTCCCCCCAAATAAGCCCTCCCCCCCAAATAAGCCCTCTCCTAAAATATTTAAATGCATGCGCAGCAAATCCCCTCCATTTCCTAGGGGGAAAGGGCGCAATATGCGCCACACATACCTGTCATCCACACGGAACAACCTCACGGAGGCCATTCCCACAAATCCTAGCTACCGCACCTCTTTTCTTAGTAGCGGCTGCAAAAAGAGCAGCAGGCCCAGTGACACTAGGGCTGGCAAGAGTGTGCCAGAAACAGAAACAGAATTTACGGCCCTCTCTGGATCAGCTGATCTGCAGGGTGAGGTTAAGGAGCTCCTGCATCTCAAAAATAATAAGACCTCCCCAAAAATAAGGCCAAGTGCTTATTTTGGGGATCAATAAGACCCTGTCTTATATTTGGGGAAACACGGCAATATCTGGATTGTTTTGTGTTTTTTGTGGGTTTTTTTTAGTTTTGCATTTTAACTTCCTTATGAATAAAATAAAAAATAAAGAAATAAAAAAGTATTTCATCCTGCTTATCTTTTATATAGGGAGATATTAACAGCATTGTTTCATTCATCAGTTTTCCCAGTCTCCAAACACACATTAAACAAGCTTCAGAGATACTTTATAAAAAAACCCACATCCATATTTCAACACTTCTCAAATTATATTCCCTACACTTATAACCATACCATTAGAATTTTTCATCATTCTGACATTTATGACTTCCTTTTCATCTTTTAAATTTTATTTTTAATTCCATTATTTGACACATCACTACTATTCCCATACGGATCTCTAAAATACTGCTTTTAGCATTCTCTCATTTGAGTTTCATTCCAGATCAATCTTTCCTTTGATTGATTCTAATCTCTCTGCTATATAGGCTCTTCGTTGAGCGCTTTTTCCCACCTCCATTTTTTTTCCATTTCCATCAAAAATCACTCGGCATTTTCTTTATCTCTTTTAAGCTTAACTGTGCTTGACTTTCTTTTATATTCTTCTCTCTACACACATTGTGCAATATATTTGACTTACTAATTTTTGCAGCGTCCCCTGATAAGCACTTTTTCTTAAACGAGAAACTCTTTCATTTTATTATGCCACATTTTTATGCCACATCATTTTTGTGGTGTGAAAAGTATTTCATG